TACCCGAGTGCGCAATTTTTTCGTCTGAAGTACCTATACGTGTGGGCAAATAAGTGAGGACGAAAAGGGGATTGGCTCAGAAGACCGAGTGGCGGGGGGGTCGTTGATGAGAGTTTGTGCAGCTCCAGTGTGGGGAAAAATAGACGCTGAAGCCTCTGTAGCGCAAGTATACACTTGCGCAAGCGCACTCTTCGAAACTTCAGCTTTTGGAAAATCGATACCTTTGTCTCCGGGTGCCTTGCTTATTCTGCAATATATGTATATAATAATGTAGTACCACTGCGCAAATCGAAACGGAAAGAAGTTGGAATTTAAATGCCCTAACGCGTGTTTGCGCATTTAGAGGTAAACCAACATCCGAGCCACAGTGTGGGGAGTAACATGGCGGATCAGAGTCAGAGGGGGAGGGGGGAAAAATGGTGGAAGCACTCCTCAACCTGCTGCTACTACATTATGCATGCCCATATATACTTACCTGATGGTACGTACTGGAACAGTATAATTAATATTCCGTTCTGCGCTTGACTCTGGTATTCGTTATAGGTGTGTTTGAGTGTGTTCAGGCCAATTTCTCTTTGTCTGTCTCGACATCAAGCTTAATTCAAGCCACAGCTTAATGTGATTCACGCGTTGGCCGCTTACATAGTACTATGGGTTACTGCGTATTATGCGCCGAGTCAGCAATTGGAAATTTAAATGAGCCAAGATTACAAATATATTCCAACCATTAATTCCTCCTTTTTTTTTTCATTTTTTCCTCTTTGGTTTTTTCTTCGTATACATCTGTATCGTGAAAAAGGTTTTTTCGTCCCACAAAGCCTGCCGTTAATGCCTCGAAACGTGACTAGAATACTTTGTCAGCGATTGTGATTGTTATTTATTGTAAGAGCTTGTGTGAAAAAAGAACGAAGAAGAAAAATAAGTTGAGACAATAACGCGCGTTCGCAATTTCAATGATTAATTCTCATGATGGTTTATGAATGACCTCATTCTCATATCTTTTTTAACGACGTGAAGTCATTACTCGTCGTGACTGGTGTTTTTAAGGTCGTGCGGATCGTATATCATGCGCGAGCAGGGGATATTACTTATATACTATCCGTGATACTTGGGTCATAAAGCTTTAGTGTACCTACATACATAAATAAGATACGTACATGTATAGGTGTAGGTAATTATAATACGTATATTCGTTTGTGCAAAAAACGTTCATTCCACTTCGAAGAATACAAAAAAAAAATCTCAATCGATAGAGAGGCGCGTATGTTTTACAATGTTATCTCAATCTATAAAGTTTGCGCGATTTTTTCGCATTCCGGTCCGATAAGAACACAAAAAAGCGATAAGAATGTTGGTTTAAACACTTTTCCGATGATTAAACTGTATAATTATCTCGTCAAAGTTTATCACGAGCAAATTCATACCATTTTCTTTTTTCCTGCGCTCAATTATTTTTTAATACCACTGTAACGATAATGCGCGACGTTTCTTTTTTTCGTTCGTTAACTTTGATCATTAGTTTAATGATCACTATTATTTTTTTTCCATACGCTTGACACACATAAATACGATCATTAAAAAATAATGTATACACCAGCTAGACTTGGGATAATTAGGCACAGCCAAGTAAATGAAGTTTCATGTACTTAATACCACTTTAATGACTCTGCTCGAAGTTGTACTTGAAAAAGTGCGCATGCGCATACATTCCTTCATTCAGTAACAAACCATAATAAGCGTGAGATTACATGAAAAATTAATCAGTAAGTTCAATAACATTAAAATACAAGCGATGCAACTCCTAAATAATATTTATACAACAATGTAAAACGGTTCCCCTCGAATTCAACAGCACACCGTATGATAATATATGTATACGTCTACCACAGATTAGATACCACAAAAAACCGCATTACAATCATACACCCCTTCGAACGCAACAAGTACCGAGTTTTATCAACCGATAAGAAAAAAAAATATATATATCTAATCGCGTGACGTTTTTTACTTTTTGCTTCCCCGTATTAAAAATTAAAGTGATTAGCGAGAGCGCCGTTGTATTGCTTATCGTTAACGTGGTAGACTATTAATCATAAGCATAATAATATGAGCGAGTCGAACCTCGCAGTTAAGCGCGTCCGTTTATATAATTACACGTATAGGATCGAAGATGTATGTTTACTTTACTACCTATAGGCGCGCTTGCGCTTGGCTGCTGTAGGCAAGGCAGTCGCGCGTCAGACGGAAGAATGTGTACACGTATGAAATATACCTATGTACAAGCTCCCGTTTCCAAGGCAACCGGCCTCAATTGGACAGTTGGACGTTATACACTTCAGGCATGCACTCCCGCGTACTACATATAGGGTGTACTCATAGGCAGCGGGAACAACACACACACACACATTGCTGATGCAGAGTTAAATGAAAAGAGAGAGGGAGAGCGGAGCACAGCAGGCAAGCGGGGCCGTGCGAAGGAAAGAATGAGATAGATAAAGATGAATGGCGTCATGGTGTGCAGAGGGGCAAGTCGAGCACAGCTGCGCCGCGCTGAAGTGGTTCAGCAGCAGCAGAGATATATGAGTACATATATATTACACGGGGGGGGGGGGCGAGAACTTTACGTTCATATATACATACATACACGTTGGATCTACCTCTGCAGAGTTCCAAAGGGAATTTAAATTCCAAAGTGCAGGTGGATAAATATCTACATGCATGAGAACTGCTGCAATGCAAGTCATGTGTGTGACTTTGTTATAAAAGAGCTGCAACATAAAAGGAATACCTAACGATACGACCGCATCGGTTGGGTTGGTTTAAGGTTCGTTTTTGGGTGTATTATTACAACACTTGGCCATGCATTGACATAATCGCAGCGTGCATATATTTATACAGTCGGATATTTCGTGTGGTACTTACTCGTATATGTATTATACAGTATCGTATGTTGGCACTGAACGGAAAATAAAAAGAGGGGGGTGGTGGAGAGAAACCGCTGAGCGGCAAGGGGCATGTTGCATCGGGTCACGGGGCGAGGGGAAGAGCAGTTCGTGTGTGTGTGTGTGCACGACGGCGAGAGGGTATATACGTATAGAGACAGCCGAGGTCAAAGCGCCGGGGAGCCTCAGAAGCTATACCTATTATCTGCAGCCTGGGCTGGGTTGCCATTGGTTCCCCGCCAACGCAGGCACCAATCCCTTTTTTGTACCCCACCAGCTCCGACGACCCGTTTCCATCAGCCCCCTCGTGAAGCTCCGACTCGATCAGCTGGCAATCCATTATCCATACATTAGGTATACATACTTTGAGTTAAATCAAAGCCCGCATACGTGCACTTATTCCCCCTCTTTCTTTTTTTCTCGACCCCCTTTTACCCCCCCCCCCCACACGATCCAACTCGACGACTCGCTTTCTGCCACGTACTCGCACTTGCGTGATATTATAATGCATATTTTATGTACTCACGTAACGCAATGTAATCTAATGTGGTACCTTATGGACGCGTGGATATATTATTTACAGCAATTTCTGATTAAATTACGTTATAGAGGTCGTGCAGAACAGTTACGCGTGAAGTTGAAAACCTCGGCGTATGTATAATACGCTACACCCAGGGTTAATACAACTTAGGTGCAAAAATTCTTCATTTATAGTTTGATGTTGCTGTTTGTATAAGTGTATTTGCATATTATAAGAAACGTATTGTAATTTATTAATGAATTTTAAAATAGGTAATGAAAACCAGATCGAGGTCTCGTCGAACGGGGAAGGTTACCGCTGCAGGCATGTACAGGGGATAGAAAAAAAGATACTTGGCCGTGGCCCAAAACTTTATACGCAAAATACTCGAGCTAAGAAAAAAACAAACGAGATGTTTCTCGTTAATTATGATAATAAAATATTTTTACAAGTATAGGAAAATGTTTCATCATCAAATTAAGAGTATACGACTTTAATATACATATAATACGTATACATATACATGCAATAATATTCAAATTGAATTCTAAGGCACCAGCTTTTGGGGTCAACTTTGAAAGCTCCTAATCGGTTGTTGCGAAGGGGGTATTATATTGATGTACACCCGTTCGAGTCTCGAGCCCAAGGCTGTATAAATATAAATTCGCATCGCAAATACTTTTAATCTATACATGCACAGAGCACGTATACATCTATGCCGCATGTAAATATATCAACGATCGAGGTCCACTTCAAGTATTAATATACATATATGTATACAGTTACACTTTGAGCATTGGCTTCGAACCAAATACACCGGGAATTGCGGATGCTGCAATCGATATTTCTTTTCACCCCCTCCAACTGAATTTTCATAGCAATAAATATATATACATATGTATATATTATATAGCGATGGGAGGGAAAAAAGGGTGGGGGAAGAGATGATGATATGATGAAGCTTTTCAGCATCAACATCTGCAGCGCCATCCTCAGCGGTGCGCGCGCACGCGTCAGCAACAGTACCAGAACTGTCTGGTTGTGGGTTGTGGCACCAAAACAACCTAGCTCGAGCTGTGTCGGAACGAAATTAAAACCCGGACACATATATGTACATACCTAGATAAGGAAATTGAAAAAGCCCAGGAGAGAGAGAGAGAGAAGGGCGAAGGGGGAGGGATCAGATTACTGTGTGGGAGCGGCACCCGAGTACCGTTCGATACCACCGATTGGTCTAACTCTGACGTTACATCACACGCAGGCGTGCATGGGTATGTATCTACATATATACGTGCCTAGTTATTGGTGGCTGGCTTCGCGTGTTCACCGCTGCTGAACACTACGCGCTCAGAGTCGCGACGAATTTATCTCTACACAGCCCAAGTACATCCGTCTCTCTCCCTCTGTCGAGAGTATCCGACGCTCTTTCTTTCTCGTACAGCGTACGGTATATACTTAGGTGTACACGCCGCGAGCCCATACTCGAGAGCTTCGCTCCAGCCAGTAGTATTCCGCACAAGCTGGCTGGCGCGCGTGGTCGGTCGTCCCTTTTTTACACCCCCTTTTATCACATTCGTCTATCTCGTTTTTTTACACGTTATATACATAGGCTTTTTATGTTAATTTCGTGACTTGACTACATATATGTGCAACTGCAGCGCTCGCCGTGGCATGCAGCTGGCTCTCGTTGCTATTTCTTCTTCTTCTTCTTCCCTTTTTTCTTTATTTTCGTTACTTTTTGATCGGTAGACCATCCGAGCGACAACGTCGTTGCCAGTACTGCCGGCAGATTGGCAGAGCTTTCGATCAGCGCCAGTTGAAAGCTCGCTTGGCACCAATCGGCGATCGGCGGTGAAAAATTGCTTACATTACCACAGCAGACAAAAATACAGAGGATCGGATACTTACTGTGGAATTATGTGAGGGCAAGTGACACGTGTGTGCTTGTATTAATCGTGGGTGTTATAAACAGACTGATGTACTTGAAATTTGAAAAGATGATTTTTGGTACTTCATAAATAAGCAGCTAGTGCACGAAACGATCGGAACGACAGCTGCACGAAAGTATATATAGGCATTCTCGAGCGGTTTGTTTTAAATATAGATCGGTGATATAGTGACAGAGTTGTGGCAGAGAAGCGGTTTGTTTGATTTCTTCGGCAATTACTGTTAGTGCAATAAGTGACTCGACGTATAACAAAGGTACACGAGTCCATGACAACTGAATTTAGTGATCGGTAGGATATATTAATTATGTCAGAGCTGCAACTCCTTGTTCCTTTTTTCCCCTCTCGCACATGAGCCACTCGTCGCGAAATGAGGTTACTTACTCGATCGAGTAGTAGTAAGTCATTGCGAGGCTGCATCAGCGATAAACTACGACGACGGCCACGACGACGGGGAGGTTCTGCGGCAGCTTATCGACGAGTCATCGAAAATCCGGCAAACTGAAAGCTCAGAGGCAGCCGCTGGCACAACGACGATATGCTTCTTCTCTTTCTAACTGCTCGCAGCTGACGGGGAGAAGACGGAGCTGGCTTGACACGAACAGGCAGGTGCTTTTTTTTTTTCATTCCGCGTAAAAAGCAGTTATTAGCTTGCCTTACTCGAGTTCCTAGTTTTTGCAAGGGGAGATGATCCAAAGATCTGTGCGATTGCGTCCTGACCCTTCGATTTGTCATTTCGACAGAGTAGGTATTTTGGACACGTTGTTATTTACAGCAGTGAGTCGGCAACAATGACACACGCACCTGGTTTCACGTCGAATATTTAACAAGCCGAAAAAATTAACGGACACCGGGTGGACTACGTTTTTTACATTATATACTTGTCATGTGTCAGTTAGAAAACTGTAATAATTTAATTGGTCGTTTTCTTTTTTTTTTGTTTTGTTTGCAGATTGGAAATGAACAGTTCATTGGGACAAGATTATGACGAATTCCGGTTTCAGAAGGAAGTTAAGCTTGAGGCGGCTAACGTAGAAGAGGATTTTCACAATTTGAGTGAGTATATACGTCCAAGTGCTTACGTTAATCTTCAAATTTAGCCCTGCAACGATAAATGTAATCAAAGATAAACAAGCTTTTTGTGTGAGATAAGTTTTACCGGTTATTACATACGTATATGTGTATATAGGTGTATTCGTCCATCGTTAAAGCGCGCACTTTTCATATGTCAGTGCTCTCTAATGATGGCATGTGTATGTGTGTGGATATATGTATATGTACGATAAGTGTGTTGCATATAGCACACTGGTATTGTGCGAATAAAAACTGATATTTATGATTGTCACAATTATAAAATGTAGTTCATATTCATGAATGGCTTTTTTCTCGTAATTTGTAATTGTTATTAAGAAACAAGACGTTAACGTAAATACTAGTCATTTTTAAATTTGTATTATTTAGACAGCAATTAAGTTGTTACTCATACTTATTTTTCTAATAAATATTTCTTCGGTACGCTACTTTCAAGTTGGGATTAGATAATTTTTTCACTTACCGTTTGTAGATGAGCAACATATCAGCACATATATTAAATTTATTAACTAAACGTGAAAACGTTATGTACATACAATAATCGTACAGTATGATAAACGCGTTGTATTACCGACCGAGCCATCAAAGTTTTTGAATCAATCGCACGTGTATATATAGGTATCTTGCAAGATGAAAAAAAATTTCAAGCTTGAGTGTAATTAAAGTTTATTGATCTGGAGTTCAAATCATGTAAAAAATGTTTGTCGTATTTCATAAATATTTTCAAAATGTAAAAAGTTACATGTACTTTGTAAGTGTAGATTTTTTTTTTGTAGTAAAAAGTCAAACTTTTGTACACTTTTAGCTTGAACGTAAAAGTGTACCTCTATAAAAGAAAATATAGTGATAAAAACGCCCTAACTCTCGAGAGGATGAACATTTCCTTTCAAAACTTTTTGAACACAACTATGTTTTTTTTTTTTTTTTTTTTTTTTTTTTTTTTTTTTTTTTTTTTTTTTTAGTTTTTAGTTTGAAACTCTTTTTTTTTTTATTTTACTTTTTATCGAGGTACTGAAATTTTTTGCTTGCAAATAATGTTATGAAAAACGTCATTCCTACAGTGAGCTTTTGATTACTATACTTTATGATAATGCGTTTTTCATGACTTCCCCGGTTAATACGTTCCTGCTATATAGCTTGTACATCAACCAAAGTCGAAACGCCGATGGTTTTATCATGCTTTTGAACTTATGCCGCAGAAAAACTTTCTTCCACGATTTATACATACGAAATTATGCAACAATGATTCAACGAGGCGTATCACGTGGTATTTTTAGATCGGAAGGAAACATTGTTACTCCCCAAGCTTTCGCAAGCATTTATTTCGCGCTATAAAAGACACCGACAGCGTAGTTAATATTACAGAGTTACGGCAGAGCTTTTACCTCTTCTGAAAACCTTATATACATATATGCGCGTTATGCACGTGAAGTTCTTGAAATACGGCTGTACATACGTGTAACTCCATAGCCATGAACCGTGTACGCGAGGTATAGGTATAACTTCGACTATATTTATAATCATTGGTTCCGATAGGTATATAGCCCACACATAAGATAAACGATGTTCTAATACTGACTGCAAAGCTTCCCCAACGTGTGCCCGTAGAGTTGACATCGATGTCTCAGCCGATGAAAGGACTGGTGTGAGAAGTGTATAGGCGTGCTTCGCAAGCCCTGTTATAAGCGTATACGAGAAAGTTTTGATTTATTTATATCGTAACCGACGACCACGTCTTGTTTTCACGTTATATACGTACAAGTGAGCCGTGAAAAGGATTCTTTTCAAGGATATTACCGTTTGTTGCTACGTGGCTTTTTGACGAGTTTGTGTCTTTGCCAATTTTTGCGGCCTCGAATTTTTGTATTTTTCAACGTTGAATCACCTCCTGCGGGGCCCATGACTTCAACGAAAAAAAAAGAAAAAAAATTTCCTTCCAAAAAAACCCGTCGTTTGGGAAAACTCGTGAATCAAAACTTTACTCGTGTGCTCCAACGCATGAGTTTCGGTTCTCAGAATTACGGAATTTTACCAAAGTACGCGGGGACCACCGAGTCGGAGCTCCATAACATCGGTAAATTTTATTAGTCTAGCAGTACCTATTAAGCGCCGATTTAATGGTAAAACGATAGCCGATGGCATAACAGACGTGACAGGAGTATACATACCTTTATAGGTTGACGGTATAATTCCCATAACAATAATAATGTGAGATGAAAAAAAAAACCATGCACGAGGTTAATTAACGTGGTTGGTTATTAAATCTTCCGTTGCGCACATTAAAAATATGATCTTCCGTAGTTAAAGAAATAGTAAAAGCAAAAATATTACCCGATTGCGAGGGGTTTCTTCCCGGGAATGCATAGAAAGGTTAAGCTCCCCAAACAACTGTATACTTAGAACTTTTTTTTTTTTTTTTTTTTTTTTTTTTTTTTTTTTTCTCAAATGTTGATAATGTGAAACAAGGTGACAATGAACGCTGTTAATTCCAAATGCTTTTTTAAACGATACATTCAAGTTAATTTTTTCTGTCACGTTTAATTTTAAATACTGAGTAACTAAACGCTTCAAGCATTTAGCTTAAAATACTAAATTGTTCTTTGTTTCGAAAAATGGTTAAAGTTGGTCTTTCCAAGTGATTGAGTAAACGTGTTTATACACAATTTGTGAAAAAAATCAAAAGGATATACAAGTGTTTGGTTTTTAAATCTTTAGATTTATAGGATATCTCGGAAAATAAGCTAAAATTATGTACCTATACTAATAATTTCTTTTTTTTTCTGCACACGTGAATTATTTACAGTTATTTGTGCATACTTTCACCGATTTGGCTCCGTGTTTTTGGGAATGCATGAACCTTTTCTATTACATTATTCGTGTTGTCGTTCCTCTCGTACACGACGACCCAGGGGCTTTTTACAGGCCCTTCTTTAAACCATCACCTTTGTCATGGGGAGTTTTCATCCCATAAGCCGACGACGTCTTTTTACCCATTACTTACCCACCCTTCCTTCCTTTGGGTGTGCTCTCTAGCCATATACTGCATACGGTGTAAGGTCCCGTTAGACAACTCAGACATTTATCTTGCTAAAGGAACATTATTGATCCTTCGGCAGGTTCCAGATTAATTTATGGGACGATGTTCCCTGCAAATCATGTATACCCCGGCTGTGCCGAGATTATTTTTAATTCTCTACCAACTAGGCTGGCTAATGGCTTTCCTCGAACGAAAGTCCCTGGAGTTTCGGAAAAACCCACTAATCGGCTTAAACATTGGGAAGTTAGTATTTTTCGGTATTTCGGACCTTATTTTTCCTGTTACGTGAGCCCGAGGAAAAAAAATCGAAAATCGTTGACAAGATTCGAACTCACGGCCCTTCGAGCTTTCATCAGATTCGGAGATCAGCACACTGCGCCAATTTCTAAGCCACTCAAGTGTCTCTCCATACTATCATATACCTAAACGTATCACGTAACGTAAAATGCAATCTTTTCTGGGCAATAAAATGAAGCTTCTAAAACTTGTCATCATTTTTTTTATTTATTTATGTGGAGCTCAAGTAAGATCGATACTTTTGGCCCCAACTTCAAAATCTTCAAATATACTATTAGTTAATAATTTGTTATTGACTAGTCATGTTTGAAAACTGTAACTACGTTTTTATTTCGACTTGTTAACTTGTTATTTGTAAGTTATTTTTCTTTTCGTTGTAATGAAACTTCAGAAAGTAGGTATATATAGTCTACTATGATGTTTTTAATCTACGTAGCTGTATGTATTATTTCTTAGTCTGCTAATGCAGTCTGACGATTCTTTTTATCGTCTAATGGGCCATTACTGTAATGAGAATATATCACTGTTCTGAAGTTCCAAATAATTATTTAGCATCTCCATTAAGTTAATTCAGTTTATAGCATGATAAATACTTACTGTATACATCTACGTACTTATTAAAAAATATAAAATTACAGATGTAGATAGATAGCTTTACGGACGGACATAATGACAGCTTATTTTACCAAGTCGAACTTTTTGAATTTACGACGTTCTTGCGAAAGTAAGAGAAAGTTCATTTTTAGTATGAAAGAGTTGAAAATATACGTTTTTAACATTTCCAAAAACACAACTGCATTTTAAAATATTTAAAAATCGACACATCCGGGCCTCCCTGTGCCGTTTACCCCTACCGTTAAAAGTAAAATTTTGAAGACAAGCTTTGACGCGAAACAACTAAATTTGTTGTAAAACAATGAAGTTGGGCTAAAAACTCTATATGTATGAGACTGAATGAATAAGGAAGTCAAAGTATAAAAATTTACCTTATTTGTTTATGACGTTAAGCGACACTGGCGAAGAAGACAAGCATCAGGTCAAGGACGATGTTGAAGTTTCCTTTGCCCACGTATATGATCCTAGGAAATACCTTATATACGCATACTTATTTGTAATGGAAAAACATAAAATAAGTGGAATCATGTTGAAAAACAGACAATCGCACCTCCAAATAATGAAAAACATATACCTAACCATAGTATAGTAGAGCGCGCGAGCCAATGACCGGCCGGCTCTATGCGGTTCCTGCTTATCGATTGGCTAAATGCGATGGTCTATGCTGGTGCCGTTCAAGCCAGCAGTCGGGAGCGGGAGCCTCCTCGTCGCATCAACTTCTCTTGCGTCCTTTTCCCTCTCACTCGCATCTCCCATCTAATCACGAAAATCATCATCATCATCATCCTTACTTAATCCTCGCTCGCGACGAGCCGTATTTTATTTTTGCACACACGCGCGCACGCGTCGACCTCTTCTTGTGTAAGTGTGATGCCCCCATATATAGTATATACCCCTATATTATACATGTAGGTATACATTTAGGAAGGAAAGATATATGTTATAAAATATGTATATAAGTACCTACACTCTCTAACTCTATATGGGTGCCGTGTATAGCCCACGATCACGAGCTTTGAAAATGAGCTTTATTAAGACCTTAAAGGCTTTTATAGCCACGATTACGAGATTCACTGCAGCAGAACACACCGCAGCTTCAGAAACACTTTTCAGTCGTGCATTCCCCGCGCCTTGGGACAGTTGGGATCTTGGTTAATTGTATTAAGAACGATTCGCGATATGCGCGCTCGCGTAGGATATACACGTATATACTTATCTACTTTTTGTTCCTCGACCTCGACTTGAGGACTAAGTATAAACCGATCATGTACCCAGTTCTCGTCTCGCCAGTACTTATACCTCTTATACTTACTTACGAGTCAGTCCGAAGCCCGATAAGGCGCTGATGCGGTTGCACTCGCACAACTCTCGACAGGGGCCCTATCCTCTGAGTGTGTCGGTGAGTGACACAACTGACACCAGGCCAACACAGTCAATTTCGACCAATCAGAGAGCTCCTTTAGCTGTGTATTGTCAATGTCTGTCGTCTGCCAACACGTTTAGAGGATAGGGCCCCATCAGGCCCCAGTCTCGAATGCCCTCGTATAGTTGTGTCGTCTGTACACGTACATGCATACATATGCATAAAAAGTAGGTTTAAAGTCTTTAAAGGGTGCAGCACTCCTCAAATTCCTCAGAATCCATTTGGATGAGAGATGAGGTTGGTTCGTTTTGGACCTCGTGCTCCTGCAGGCTCGTGTATGTAGTAGATACAGTTGTAACGTATACATATAATATTAACGCTGTGTGGGTGGTACCTTGAAATGCGGCTTTGTTGCGCGCATGTAAATAGTGTCGCGTGCGAATGGAACGCGCCACATCAAACGCAGCTCCTCTCTTTTTCTCTCTCATATACTTACGAGATGGGCGCGGGTGTAAGGATCGACTTGAAAAAAAAATTCGGAGATACCTCAATTAGAGGAGAATGACGGTTCTTCTCGGGAGTTTTAATGTTCTATAGGTGAGGACTTTTGTTTTTAAGCGGTTTTCTGTGGGTGCATGTGTGTGAATCTCATGTCCTCATGTTGGTTAGAATAATTTGAAACAATAAAACTGTCCTTGTCGAATACGATGATGATGATGATTCATTTTTTGGATCTCCGATCTTGACGACTTCTAATTTTAATTTTAAAGGGATTTATTGGATGTTTTTGATCTAATTCATAAAGACTAATGTACAAATGCTAAAAAGATATTTTTTTTCCAAAAAATGTACTTTAATCCGATAAAAATCAATTTGTTTAATTATAAAATTTGATCATCGTTATTCTTTCTACATTAAGGTTTGTCTTATTGTGCTGTTCCTAATAATTATGTGATTTTTCAGGAGATCTATTGCGCTGTGAACTTTGTGATCAGAGATTTGATACTAAGAAGGATCTTCAGAGCCATCTCCTTGCACACATTGGTCAACCCAGAGTAGTCCTAAAAAGGATACCTAATACAAAAACGTCTAAAAAGGAAGCGAGTGAAAAATTCTGGCCCGAGGTTGAGCCTCGGGGTACACTGAAGATCACCCTGAAGCTGAAAAAGTCTCCTATGTCAGAAAGCTTTACTGTTGTCAGAAACAATTTAGAAGCAGAAAAAAACAGTTGTGATCAAGAGTACGAACTGGCTACAAAACTCAAGGATGACCATCAGAGTGATTCAGAGGAGGAGGAAAAAACCAGCGAACAGTCATATGAAAATGTGATATTAAATCAAGAGGTACTATTTCATTAAAATATTCGTTTTTTTGTGGTTATGAATGTCGTGGCGATGTAGTTTTCAGTAATTTCAAGTTATGAAGTAGAATCGTTGAAAAAGAGTATTTTTACGTGATTCATAAGTTCGTTATATTACAGAATGATTATGAAAATGACGAAGATGATGAAGAAGAGAATTTGGAAAGTGAACCAGATCATAATCCATTAGAAAGTTCTGAAAGGCCTATAATGGATAATAACGAGGCAGACTCTGGGGTTGGCAGTGACACTGCCAATCTTTTAGAAAAGGAGGATCAAAATGTTGATGATTTGCAAGGAGATAATAATAGTAATTCCGATCAGAATGAGTTGGCTGATAACGAAGATCAAGAAAACGAGGAGTCTGATGCCCTGGAAGCTACATGCAGGGAAACTATAGAAAACTTGAAAAAACTTGGCGAACTCGAGTCTAGGTATATTGTATAGTCTTTTACTTGTATACATGTAGGGAACAGACATTAACACATGCATAGTCATTTATATGTTACATATTACATTCATTGTATTTTCATTTACCTACTCCAGTACACAGTTTACAAAAGAAATCTTGAGTATAAACTCATTCAACTTATGATTATTAAGAATTTGATTCATTTAACTATTATTAATGATATTAAATTTTACATATCGTAAGGAGCGAAGCTGTTAATGCTAAGTGATGAATCATTGAGATTAAAAAAAAATTATCATAATCCTCATGAACATTATTTTATCAACAGACAATCGTAACTCCTAAAAAGCAGATTATTTTTTTAACTTTGCTTTATTTTTGCGTAATTTATTTTATTGATGCTACCGCTTTGCTTTGCAGTTAAGTTTGTTTTTATAGTTTATTATTTCAAGAATTCATGATTTTCAATTATTTTTTTCATTCTGTTCCCCATGTGCGTATCATTTTGCTTCGTTTTTCGTTTGGTTCATTCATTTGCTTCAATTAAACCATCATTATTTACACGATTAGGTACGTTTATTCCAGATCTTCCGAAATTCTCGATCCCAGAGCTGATTCTGTGGAAAACGAGGAGGAAGAGGTCGTAGACGAAGAGGAAAACGAGGCAGAAGAAGACGAAGAGGAGGAGGAACGTAGACCAAGAAATTTAATTGAAGATCGTTTTCAATCGAATAGCGAAATAAGCTTGGTACCAAGGTCAGCACTTATGGCCGAAAAGCCGAGCAGTACGACGCACGAAAAAGAAACGGAAATCCTACCGATCGGCGGAGGCTCGAGCATCAGCTGGACCAAGATCGTGAACGAAAATTCGAATAGCAATAAAAGTCGTGAGGACAGCCGCCACTCGATGGACAAAGATGAGGTAGAAAACAGCGAGAGTGCGGGCTCGATACTCCAAAACTTCCTGCTCGAACAACAGCGGGGCCAGAACGAGTCAAGAGATATACCGCTTGAAACTGAATATGTGTCTCTGGAGAAGCTCGCCGAGTCTGTGAACACATGCAAAGTTTGTAACGAAAAGTTTAAGGACATTTCTCATCTTGACGCTCACAAATCGAAGGTCGGACACTACCAGTGCAGCTCAAGAGACTGCAGTTCTTTGGTGTTCAAGACACCAATGGAGGTGTCGGTGCATAAGTCCCAGGATCACGGGGCACCGGTCTCGCCTAGCGTCGCCAGTTCGTCGGTGGCCAGTGTATCACCCCACAATTTGTCCCAAACCCACTCGCCACACTCGCAATCACCCCATCTAAGTCAAACGCACTCGCCTCTCATGAATGCTCACTCGCCGCATTCGCCCAGCGTTCAGGTGCCTCAGCATCCGTCCCGAAGCTCACCCATCACCTCGCCCCATGCCAATTCACCTACGATACCCACAATCAGTCAGCAGCACACCTATCCACCAGTCAATATGGAGCAGCTTCCTGTGCCTGTACAGCAGCTTGCCCAGCAAGTGCAACGAATGCCTCTGCCTCCTCAGCCTGTCCAAATGTCACCAGGTGGACCTTCTATGATACCCCATGGTGCAACTTACTATCCAGGTCCACCAGGCAGACCACCAATGTATGGTAGGGTACAGGGACCACCCATTGCTTACCCTCCCAATCTGGCAATGTATGCTGCTCAGCAGTATGCAGCAGCAGCAGCAGCTGGAAATTCGTATCACCAACAAATGGGACTGCAAGCTCAGATGCAATCCCAAATGGCACAACAGCAGATGCCTCGGGGAAGATATCCGGCTATGGTTCCTGGTCAAAGGTAAGCTTATATTTGCGACTTTTTTTAGAACTTTTGATTATCTTCTACTACGTTTCATAAAGTTAAAGGAAATTTAGTAAGCGTACAACTTTATAGCTTATTTTACCTTGTATTACGGTCATACCATCTAAAAGCATAACAAGTAGCCGGCAGACTGCCACACTTCACCTTAACGCACCCCAATTATCCATAGCTTTACAAATAAAATTTTTTAATGTTAGTGTGTAAATAATTTTTTTTTTTTTTTTTTAATCTTTCCCCTGGGACACTTGAAGCTAGTTCTGCTGTCTTATAATACACACGCATACACATTATCAAGCCTCAGTTACTTTGTTGATAAATGATAAGACATTTTCTTGTGTTCCGTAAAAGCGGTAAGTGCATTCTCTCGATTAAGCCCGGATTATTCGGGAATATCTGGACACAGCTAATTCTATGCATGGGAATTTGGGAATGGGCTCAGCTCAAAGGGCGCCAGAGAAGAGAGAGATTTTAGCCAATTAGCCAATAAGAACAATTCCAATTATCGTAATTCAGTTATCAGGCGGCGATAGTGTGAATAACCGCTGAAAAAATTTATTACCATTCTATGTCGATTAGCAGTAAAACAATTTAAGAATTTAATGGCTGTGTTAAATGTATATTGGCTGGTTCCATGACATTACATTACCTCTTCCAGTGGTTGATTTAAAATTTCCCGCAAAACGAATGTACAAAAAACACCGCGCTAGTGTCGAGTTGAGAAGCTTTCAAAAATCACCGCCTAATGTGTTTGGCGCTGACTGGCAAAGTTTTTCGGAGAGTCGGAAAACTCTGAAACGGAAAACTAAAAAAACACCTCAGTACAGTAGGTATGTTGTGCACGTGATAACCTACCTACTACAACCTGCAAAATCAATAGGGACTGTAAGCAAAACAAACTTTTGAATTCTACTTTTGAGTGATAATTAATCGTGAATTACTTGATTAACTAAAAGTCTGTGATTTTGTTCATTGAATTTTCTTTATCCAAAGGAAAGTTACTATATCGCGATCGCGTGCATTTGAAATGGATTTAAGCTGACAATTCGTATAACAATATACTTACTTTCGTTCCCATACAAAAATGTACTTACCTTATGAAAACTCAAGAATTTTTTTACGATCTCGTTCAGTTTAGTTCTTAAGAACCAAAAACGTACGAGAATGCATGTCTTGATGCTTTTAGTGTGTAGCTGAGTCTTACCAAACCTAATAGGACTTAACTGAAACTAGTTGTGTAACACAAACACGTCAGGGTTAAATTAATGAAAGATGCAGAAGAGAATAGTGTATCACTGAAAGACCACACAGTACCTCACATATGCACTAGCACAGTAGTTTCGTTTCTCGTGATCTCTGATATCATATCCTTGCAGGCACCAGAGGTTATCACAACCACCCCCACCAGGGTCGTTGGTTCCCATGCAACGTGTACGCATGAAGCGACCAACGACTCAGATATCTGGTCACCAAATGCAGCAGCAACAGCAAGTTCATCACCAACAGCAGCAGGCGCCTCCAAGCGCGGTCAAACAAAGACGCATGGACGTGCTTTTGCCAGATCGCAACGAGGATGCCGACTGTCACGTTATCGCCCAACAGAAGAGAAACGATGGACTGCCGGTCATACAAAATGTCCAGGGTGGTGCCTCGGTTCAGCAGCAACAAAATCCCAGCAATAACAGTGGCAGTGGAAACAGTCGTAGTGACTCAATGATTCATCTGACGGATGCGATAACGCTGAGCGTCCGGCAACCCGGTAGGTGACGCGATTGTTGATTGGTTGTTTTTTTATCGAGTAAACACCTATTATTACTAGAGTAACTCACAGATAAATTCTTGATGTATACATAATTTATTCTTTCTGAAGTAAATTTGATAATTTTTTTAGGTGTGTACTTACATAGTTTATTTAATTTTTTTAGTAGTAAGTTTTTGTTATTATTAATTTTCAATTGCTATTTATTCTATTTGCCATTCCTTCATTTGGCACGCAAATAAGTTTAGTGGATGATCTATAAGTATTGTTATTCTGGCCATCAATTAGTCTTTACTTGTCTTTGAAATTATCACTATCACTTTTTTTTTCTCCTGGCAACTTGTTTTTCATTTTTAGTTCAACATATTTGTTGTAGTAATATTTATTTTACCATCCTTACGTGCACTTAAATTATTCTCCTTGTGTTTGATGTTTAAATATTAGTTTATGTCATCAAGGGAGAAGTGCACAAATGCGAAAAACTACGTTTCTCTGTTTACTAATGTATAAAGGTCATAATCCAGCCCAAATCAACGCTAACGTCCAATCAAAGAAACCTGACGCATCGTCGGTAGCCAACGTTCTCGCAGCTCGTGGTATTACCGTGACCCCGGCATCGAACAAGAAGAACGCCGAACAGAGCAACAGTCAGTCGCAACAACAGTCGTCTCAACAACAGCAGCAGCAAACTCCGCCCAAGCAGCCAAGTGTTGTGTCAACTCTAAATCTGAATTCAGCGATATCTATCATTCCAGCGTCCTCGCAACGTAAACAACAATTGCAGCAACAGGAACAGAGCGGACAATTTGCTGTACCGCAAAATAAACAAAGCAAGCAAGTTAATAGTGAGGTAGAGCGGCCGCCCAGACCGCCCACAGTTGATCTTACTCAAGATAATGCTCCACTACAGCCCGTGCGTCGAGGCAGGCCGCCTAGGTAAGTTTTATATCAGTAAATCTTGTTGATTGTCTTGATTGATCTCATTGAATATGTATCCCTCGTTATAGAATGCTTCAATCGCTGACTTGTCAAATTTGCGACAAACGATTCCAAAGCCAAGAAGTGCTAAATAATCACATGACGACGCACAGAACGGCAAACAAGCTACCACATAAGTAAGTGTCCTGATGTGGTGCCCTAAAAATTGAGTAAACAAATGAAATTTTGTTGGACAAGTGTTTAAAAAAACCGTAAAACTTTTATTATAATAATTTCAGATGTAATTTGTGCCCAGCGCAATACCCGTCTACAGTAGCTCTTGCAATGCACAAGAAGACCTACCATAAGGAAGTAGACGCGATGCAAAACAGCAATATCGAACTCGCTATACCAGTTGTAGATCTCAAGTCACCCGCATCTTTGACTCGGCTTAAGAATCTCGGCATTCAGAGTTACATACCGTTATCGCAGCTAAGTGCAATGACTGGCGGTAATTATGGTTTGCCGATTGTTACCATAGACGGAGCCCGAAATCCCAATTCAAACAATCTTGCAGCTTTAGGAGCTACTTCGATTTTAAGTCTTGGTACATTAAAGCATTTGAGCCACAGGTAACTAGTCTAGATAGTGACTTGACGATTCAAGAACAGTCAGATATGAAAATGGGTGTAATAGATTAAGAACATAAATAATGTATGTAAGTGAACATTATAAAAAGTTTAGTGCTGAAAGACGTTTTCTTACTTTTCGATGATTCAAAGAAGTATAAATGATTTTCATTACACAAGTAATGAAATATTTATTGATCTGTTCATAATTTTTATATGGACGATAATACCACTGTGTATAATATAAATTGAATTTGTCACTATTTTATATTCAAAATTGATAAAAAATGTTTATTCGAATAAAAAATTTTCAAGTTTTTATTTATTGTTGACAAAAAACACTTATTAAAATTAATGTGATCAAGTCTTTATTTTTTTGACAAACTCGAAAAGTATTGAGTTTTCCTTAAATGAAACTACTTAAATAAATGTTTCTGATCATTTGTAATTAGAAATTCTCACATTGATTAAGACATACGCATTTGAAAATGTTAACCTAATACTAAATTTGGCTGTACACATAAAATGTCTTAAATGCTGGACGAACATTATTATCGATTGTAACTTTTGAATAGAAAAACAGAGCATGATGGTTTTTTTGTCATAAGTATGTAACATTTGTTTAAACATTCTATCATACAATCACAAAATCCATAAAAGTATTACTTTCTAAGAGAATATTTGAATAATGACGTTTTTCATGACAATAAAGTTATATAATTTAGTAAACGATATCCTTATTTATACAATTATATTAAGCAAAAATTATACTTGATTCTGGTGAGTAACGACAGTTTTTTTGGTTACTCGTTTTCTTACAGTGCGCTCTTGTTAAAGAAAAATGTTGCTCAAAACTAGTGTGCATTTAACAAGTGCAATCAAATAAAACTCTTGACCTTGTAGGAAATACTAGTTGCGAAAACTATAATTTCAAAAAGAAGTTTTGAGACTTGTAAGATATTCAACGAGTTTAATATAAGAGGTAAACATCAGTATTTACACGAATTTTGTAAAAATTAAATTATCCTACATACTAAACGTAACAAATCTGTTAGATTTCATCAACGTAATTTAACTATGTATCATTTAAAACAGATAAAATATAATTCATTTTTATTTCAAATAACTTAATTCAAATTACAAGAAATGTTTTATAGTTTTTATATCTCCAAACACATTTCTTCTCGTTGATGTTTAACGTACATAGATAGATAATAAAATAAATAAAACGTTCCTTCAATTATATAGATCAGAACTGATTAATGTAAATACATATATATGTAATATAGTAAAAAGTACGTGTGCTGTTAAACAAATTAAACGGTGCTTAAGAGCATATATGAGAAATGAAATTCAATTTATTATAGAATAACCAACAGATAACACAAAGAATTCAATAGCTGCTCCTGCTGTAACATTGTACTTTTTCTGTGATAACAAAATGCAATGTGATTGCGGTTATTAGAGAGCAACTAAAAATTATGTTTTTCAAATTTTATATTAAATGAGAAATAATTTATGTGTATAATGTGGTACACGACTATTTGAACTAATTAATTATATATTAACGAAATAATTTTCTACGATGTTGAAGTAAAAAAAAGGAACGCGCTCTTTGACTTCTTACTTTAAAAAAGACTGTCAAGACGAGCGGTAACAACGGAAATACACATACTCTGCGACATGGACCCTTCTGCGTCTGAGCGTTACAAGACTAAGATATACGAAAACTAATTACATAGACTTGTATATATTATATTATTATTAAATCTTAATAGTCATGCGAGTGAATGATTCGTGTGATTTAAAATGCGCATCAAATTATTAGCATATATGTATTTTTGTAAAGATACAAATAGATTTTATGTAAAAACACTTTTCAATACGTTGAGATATGTGAATTTGCATTAAAAACTAATATTCGCAACATTCAAGCTTATTGTGTTTTTGATTTCCTACATAGTTCCTTTCCCAACAAACCATTAAACACTTAGATTTCAAGCATAGACAAACGCATTGCTGCATTTGAATACAAAAAAAAAACGATACTTGGTTTTTTTTTTTTTTTCTGAATTACAGTTACGTAAAGTAACAGTTTCGTATACATCAGAATAAAACGAAGAAGAATCAAATGCAAGCGGCAACGGAGACTACGAAAAATGAAAAATCTATACAATAACAATATTCGCTCCGAGCCGATACAGAGGTTGCGCCCCCTCTAGCCAAAATCAGGCAAAATTTCTTGCATGTAAACAAACGGTTTAGAACATATATACATGCGTATAGCTGCTTGTGATTGGCTGAATAAGACAGCAGGAGAGGATCGTCGTTCTCTCTCTATAGCTTGCCAAGTGCCAAGTGCCAATCACAAGCAGCTGTACGTATGTACCTATATATGTTCTAAACCGTTTGTTTACATGCAAGAAAT